GGGGTGGAGGGTGGAGGGCGGGTGGGCGTGGCCGTGGACTACCCTCGAAGCGAGCGGATTGGACGGTCTGTTGGTCTGCTCCGTCAAATAAAATCCAATCGTTATGAGCAAAGGAATGCGAGTCTTCCGGCTTTTTTCATTCCTCGGTCCGCTGCCCTCGTCGCGCCTCCTCCCTCCTCGAGCTTTTCCACCCTGCCCCCCTTCTTCGCTTTCCCTTCCCCGGCTCTGCCCAGTTTCACCTTTAAACGCGGCGTAGAGGGGCAGGAAGGTGGAGGGTGCGCGCAGCGCCGTTTGATGGGAGTATGATTTTATTACGGCATTACCGAGCGAGCCAAACCCCGAATTGCTCGGCTTATAGTCTGTATTATCTCACCTAAGAGGACGATGGAGGGGAGAGAGGGGACAGGGTAGACGCCGCCGCGCCGGGCTTCGAAGGGGTGGAACTGACACGGGGAGAGGGGATGGGTACAGAGTAACACACTCCTTGCTCCGTCGGTCTCTCTTCTGCTCTCTCCTTTCCCCCATTGCTACCCCCTTTTCTAGCCGACGACCTACCTCCCCACCCTCTCCTTCGCTCGCCCCTTCTGTGTACACTCATAAGCCGCTGCCTATACGTTGAAGGGGGCTGTTTCGAGAATCTGTTCCCCGGGGGAAGGGGCAAGTGCGCTAGGTATATGCCTTTGTCGGCTTTCATTCGAGGGTTGCACGCTCTCACGTTGCGCTGCCGCGACGAGCACCCCTTCTCGATCCATCTCGCTCACTCATCTCGGTTTCCCGGACGCCCTCCGTCTCTCGCTCGCACCCTCTCTGTCTATCCGCACGCGAGCGTGCACGGCCAGTTGACATTCCGCTGCCGAAATCGCACGTTCCTTCTCCAGCGTGCCGACGACCGTTCCCGCGCCAGTTTAGCAGTTCTCGTCGCGCGCGCTGCGCGAAATGTAACCGCGTGACCAAGCCGACCGCCCTGTGTGTTTTCAGTTACGGAACGCGATGACTCTGTGATCGAGCGTACGATCGATCGACCGCGGTCCTTGTCCGTCCTGGCGGGACCAACCGGCGCCACGCGTACGATCAACCGTGGACCACAGTGTGAGCTTCGTTCGAGTCTTGCTGGACGTGTCTTGATCGCATAGCTCGTAAAGATTGGATCAAGGTGGATATCCTGGAAGGCGGTTCCTCGAAACTGTGTCACTCGCATTTCAAGCGGTGACGGTGGCCGGTACAACACGTGTTCGAAGAAGACACTGATGAACCTCTGGATCTAGCGTGAAGGTAGCTAAACCTGTCGGATGGAATTGTTTTATGAAGATTCATGGCTGGATGTTCGATACTTTGGGCAAGACTTCTAATCGGTTGCTCTGAGTGAAAGATCGTGTTGACGAAAGGTAAAGAGGAATTTACTGAACAGGAGAAACTGTAGTGGGGAGGGGGGTTAAAGCAGGAGGTCGTGATATGTTCCCTTCGTCAGCGGCGATGCTGAAAAATCTGCAACAGAGTGCAATGACCTCGCCCTTCTTGATGGAGAACCTGCTCCAGAGCAAGGCGTCGCCCGGTGCCGACTTGACCAGCCTGACCTTGAACTGGGCGGCCAGCCTGGTAGCCAGACAACGCGAAAGAGAGTGCGAGGCGTCGCTGAGGATCAGCAGGGAGAAAATGTCTCCTTCGAACTCTAGTCAGGAGCAGCTTGATCAACGATCCTCCGGCGCACGTGGCAATGATCGACAGAACCCGGTCATCGACTGCAGAGACCACCAAAGGGCCGCGGGCAGGATCGATCGTCAGAGTGATCGTATGCAAATCTTGCGGGATAAAGAAGTCGGGGAAAGAGGACAGATCGCGTATGTGGACGTGGAGAACGACAGGATCGACGGGCACGTGATCGTGGACCGTCTATGCGCTATGGAGAGGCTCTGCAACGAGAGGATCGAGAACAGATCTAGCTCGGGCATGGACTCGTGTAACTCGAACAACGCTGATGAAGATCCGAATGGTATCGAGATCGAGGGCGGTCTTCACGGGGAGAGGGATAAGGACGAAGGGTTCCTGGGTGGTGAACACGTCACGATACTGCAGCCGGAGAGACGGTACGACCTTGGATGCAGAAACGTCATGCACACGTCCGACGAGATGACGATTCAAGGGGAGAGAGAGGTGGCGGCGGTCGAGCGTGTCGCGGACAGGATAGGCGAGAGAACGACCGCCTGCTCCTGCGGCGATGAGCAGTGCTTAGGACCCGCGTGCAGGACCATCCAGGAGAAGGAGAAGCCGCAGCTCAAGTTTAGCGTCAACGCTATACTGGGCGGGAATCATGACAGGCGACCGCATTCTGGTAAATTGTTCAGTTCACTTCGCAGCCCACGTGTCCTTGTCCCTGTCCGGGTCTCGCAAGGCTTCAATATATAGGGTGTTTCCAAAGTCGTGGTATAAGCAGAAAATGAATTATTGTATATAAAAGCTTAATCGCGGTGAAACCAGAAAGAGAATTATTTTATATAAACCACCGAATAGATAATATAGAGCAACGGTTTTTCATGTGACACCGTATCTTTGAGACAATCATGTTCGGAGATTTATCGAATGCGTATGCTATTGAAATTATCATGCTAATAACTTATGGTCTTCACTTCCTGTAAATGTCGATGCTTATTCTCAAGTCCAGTATAAGGAAATCTTCTTGAATGATTTTTACTTACTTTTTCAAGTAGATTCACTTTCCTCTTTCTTGTGCTATGATTTAGGAAACACTTTGTATAGGGTAGTAAAGGAAAAGTGTTTGGGTCAGAGTTCGATAAAAAGCGTTCTCATGTACATATTGGGACTAATGATTGAAATGCAATTTTTTATTCGATCGTAGGTTATTGCCTGTAATTATTAATTGTAATAATTACATAGTTAGATAATTAGATATTTGGATAATTAATAGTAATTAATCAAATCAACTATTATATTCGAATCACTAAATGTAACATCTGAACAGATTATATTTTGCCCTACTCTGGTTCAGGACTTGGAGAGTAGATAATAGGTCTTATTTGTTAAATAAAAGAAAACAGTTCTAATGAACTTGAGTAAAGAAATTAACATTTTCGAAGTTACGAACAATTCGTTAGATTACGTCACTATTTATTTTTTCCTCGGTTGTAATAATATTATAGCTCATCAAGCAATCTTGTGATGCGATAGATGCTGTATTCAGACCTTTTTATAATTTTAAAAATATTAATTATTCGATTCATGATCATTAGAACGTTTCTTCTATTTGATAAGAGTTGCCTGTCCCTAAAGTCCTAAACCCTTTTTCCGAGCACCTTCTGTACTATCCCTGACGTAAAATATTCGATCAAAAGATCTTAATATATGTTGTATTTATTATTCACTTATCGAATGTAGCACACGTTTTTGTTGAACTTTAAAAGTTCACAGACTGGCAACTGTTGCATTAGGTACAGATAAATAAAACATTAATGTATGAAAACAACTAAAAAAATTAAACGTTTGACCGAATAATTTATTTATTCATTGGGGCTAGAAAATGTTTACGTTGGTTTACGAATGGTAAAGGCAAAGACAATGGTAAGTGTCATGCATAAATGAAATATTAATATGAAAATGAGTATAAGGAAGGCACAATAATGACGGCTACTACGCATAAATGAAATATTGATGAAAAACGGATATGCGCGTTTGCTTACGAATTACGAAATATGTACATAATACAGTGATTCTAGCAGGTTAAGTTAGCGCCAAATGTTCGAAACATTTTTCAATATTCTGTCGTTATCTTTTTCGTTCGTAACATAAAAAATATTATAAATACTTTTTCATATATACAGAATCAATTTTCGTCATTTTTACATACAGTTGAATGTTTCGTTATGTTATATTTGCTAATCAAAACAAGACTATTTGATATTTCATATTTTCAATATTGCTTTAAAATACGCATAATAAAACATGAAAATTTATTTGTTGTCTGTACTTCGAATTGTCAAGGTAAATCTTTATTAGATTACTTTCGTATCACGTCTTATTATGTTCGTTAAGATAATTGTGTGTATCTCTAATTTATAGATTCAGTTGTATTTCAGTAGTAGAAGGACATGCATAGTCAGCCAGAAACTTGAACTTAGTCGAACAGCTTTTCTGAATTGCAACTGTCGCTTTGAGCAGGATATACTGAATTTTCCATGAATAATATATTTCAACTTTGCTATATTTGCATAATAAAAGTATTCTTTCTTTTTTTTAAGTTGCAAAGCCATTTAAAGGTTGGGATATATTGTTATACCTTCTGAAAAGTTTCAAGACACATTTAAACACATAAAATACTCTAAAACAGCAATATCAATCCACTAAAAACATAATTTTAAATAAATTCCAATTTTCAAAAAAGTTAGTTACTTGTGAATAATTTATCGAACTGAACTCAAAATTTATACAAAAACCTATAATTTACGTTTGATTATTATAAAACATAAGAATTATAGCTACAATCCCTAATAGATTTTAAGATGGAGAAAAATAGATGATTTAGTATCGGTATCAGTTTAGTTCTTACAAACTAATTTCCTAAAGCAAGAATCCACACGAGCATCAATAATTAGCAGATAAAAGTTCCACGTTTCACGTGTCAACATAAACAAACAAAAGTTGTATTAATGGTGCTTAGAATCGTGCTCGTTAATTTCGGACGATTACGACAGGAGAATAGGTTTTGAATTGACGACCGCGTCAGAAGAATCTTAGTCATGCCGCAGCATTTAGAGTGTTGAAACAAAGCTCACCACAAATCAGTGTCGCTAGCAGACTTCTGTCGCCGGTCCCTAAATCTCATCCGCACACCCTCAAGACGAGTCGCAGCGTGCGTGCGGGGTGGAGCAGGACGTCAGCTGGTCCGCCACTTACCTTCACCCCAATATTAAGCCCTTACGATTGGTGCCCATAATATTAGACAAGCGGCAGGATCCAATGATGTATTACCGTGCCTCTTATCGCGTTTCCTTATTCACAGTAATTCCGCCGGCGCCGACACGAAATTGGGCGAACCATTTACCGAACGTTTCACTTTATAGCTACGACTGAATTACAGACCTCGTATTGTAGACACGTTGTCTTATTATCTGTAGTGGCAGTCATAAGGACAGTGAAAACTCCTGTACGAAATTTTGCAGAATTTCTAACTATCTAGGAAGTGTAAAAATGCATTACAGAAAAATGAAGATTCATGTATTTTAAATAATAATATTTATATGTTTGCAAGATGAAATGGTAGAAATCATATTTGCATTTGAATTGTGTATGAAGTAATAGTTTGAGCTGTTACTGGAAAGAAAAGGTACTGGCACTTTTTATAAATATATTTAATATTAAAATACATTCAGATATTATGTTTGAAGAAAGTATAACTCATTAAAATTGTTCAATGTAAAGATAAATACTTCTTTGATTCAACGTTTACTATACATTGAATCTAATTATGTTTTCAGGTAGCATTCAGATTGCAATGTTAGTGTAACATCATTACAGACTACACTGACGTATGCAACGAGAGGACAAAAGTAATTTAGTGATTTCGTTCTATTTTAATTAAGAAGGGGATAGAAATCATTAAAAATACTATTACCTATACATTTTTATTAAGACTTTAGGAAAAAAATTGTTGATGAATCCAAACCTAATACCAAACCTAAAGACATATTCCTATTGTAATTGCTGGTTTAATTATTATTATTTTATTAAGCAATAATAGTATTACTGTCATCATTTGCAAAGTGAAAATCTGATTTCAAAATGTAATTCCTAACAAGAATATTATTCTGAATTACTTACTGTTCAAAGAATGAAAAAATTTTAACTCTACTAACATATCACTTGCTACTCTTGCTCAATTTTCTTATTTGTTCCTTCACCGACATAATTTTTAACTCAGAAGACATTAACGTTAACACTAAAACTACCGAGTAATTAGAGTGACCTATTTCCAATTTTTTATCAAAATTAGAGCAATACGGGTGTCATAGTCTTGTACCTGTGCAGATACATGAATTTAATAAAAAATCTTTCGTTAAAACGCTTTCAAACGCCTCCGGTAGTTTTATCATTCATCTCACGATGTCTAACAAATACTTCCCTCTATTCAACTTCACCTTCACAATTCCTGCAAAAACCTCCTCTTAACCTTCAAACTTAAATTACCCTACACGAACCAACATAGATCCTCAACAATTCCCAAAGAAACATCCCAGCATATATACAGAAAAGCCACTTCACAGTAAAACAACCGCGCGATCTCTCGTCTTCCCAACCCCATCGTTCCTTTTTCCCGCCCCACCTTCCGCGCCACTAACGAGTGATTGACACGAGTCGATAGAGTTCATGCACGTACGATAAATACATAAACGTAACGCAGACCGCGCGGGGGACCGATGGCGATAGAAAGAGAGACAGCTCCGAGAGGAATGAACGGAAAGAGACAGAGCAAATGTCAGCGGAAAAGAGAGAAACACCGATATAGAGAGAGGGAGAGAGAAAAGCATAGAGTACCAAAGCAACAGAGACGAAACAGAGTCAAAAAGAGAGAAACACGAGATCCGTCAGAGGATGAAGGTAGACGGGTAGAGGAGGCAAATGTTGCATTTAACATTGGCGGATTGCATGCACGCATCGGTAGAA